GATAAAATCGTTTTGCGTTTTCTGTTTTTTTTCACTTTTTTACTTGTGAATAATTGGTATAAAAAATTAAAATATCAAAAATCGAGTCTTATACGTCACCCGATATAACTGCCCTCTACAACTTTTAATTAAGGTATTTTGCTCTAAAACAATTCTGTAAGCCGTATTATTCCAACAAAATTGGCATGTTTTTGTACGTTGTTTTCGGTGGTGTGGCGTCCTCTTAATGACACAGACGTAGTGACACACTATAGCGAGTATACGTTATGATACATACTATATTACTATACCATGGCTAAATATAGTATTTTTATTTATTTTTATTTTATTTATTTATATTAATATATTTAGCCATGATACTATACAACGTTACCGAACGTGAACGATTGAGATCGTGCAACGACGATATGTCAACTAAGTGGGGGATGCGCGGATTCGAACGCGATTCGGTCGGGACACTGGTTTCTTCTCTCTCTAGAAATTTAATTAGTATTTATTTAGTTAATATTTATTTAGTAATGCCTCATAGATAAATTATAAGTATAATATCTTAAATCGTGGTCCGAGCATCCGAGGCTATGGAATTTTGGGACAAAAACTGAAATGGATGGGAATGTTAGTATTTCTAAGTTGGTACTTCTACATTTTCGTTGGTCCCCTATTTAAGCGTTTATTCCATGAAAATTATCTGATAAAAACTGCTGATGATAACGGCTGTTATCTCGGGGACCCAACTGCCCCCATCCCGGTTACCGATTACCGGGACGGAATGGCAACACTGGATTTCACCTATTCTGGTGTTGTCGAGGTTAAATGTCTTTAATGTGGTGACACTGAAATTCACCTATTCTGGTCATATTATTCATGTTTTTGCAGACATCTCAAACCTCTTAAAATTGGCAAGTGCCCAGTAGTCATTACTCATTTGCATGAAAATTTGTTTATCTAGCTACTGATACAATAGGAACAATTAATATAATCCTTTTTTTTTTATTGGGTCCGTAGTCCCTTATGAAAACTATGTTGGTAAATTAATTTTCAAAAACTTATAGCAATTTATTCAGGGAGATCAGATTATAAGTTGAACATATCATCATGATTATATCTGAACATCATATTGAAGTTCAATTAACTAGAAGGATGAACATCAAGCTACCAGCTAATGTGTTTTATGATAAAGGTTCTAAAGCCCTTGCTTTTTTTGGGAAACAAGTAACAACTATATTGATTCATTGAACTGGAAAGATGCAAGTATTTTAAAAATATTTATTATCTAATTTATATAACTAACAAATTTTATTTTATTTGAAAAAGGCTTCAAAATTGATTTTGCCATCTAATAAATGGCTTGATCTGTTCTACACAACCTGCAGTTGATAGAGGTGTTCCAAGTTTTGGACTCGATAGGGTCAATCAACAGGAATTATTGAATACAATGACCAGCCTCATTCAGGAAATGCAAGTAAATAGAAAAAAACTACTCCCTTCTCAAAAAACGCCAATACATGAAATTTTCTGTTTTAAAAAATTAGTTTGTAATACTATGAATTGTATTTATTATGCAGGTATACTAGTATAAAATAAGTTATTGAAGAACTTACTAGAATATTTGAAAAGCAAATATTTTTTGCAATATATTACTACTAAAATACTGAATCAAGATGTGATTGGGACTTATTCAGTTTTTTAAAAAACATGGTCGGTTCTTCTAGTAATAATATAACGGCTCTTGACAGGCAAGGGCAGTTTTGATCTGTAAAATTACCTAATAAACTGTACTTGTATAGAATATTGTACTATTGTGAAAAATCTTATAATGTTTACTAATAATGATTTAATTTAAGGTGGTTCATTCTGGAAAAACACTCAGATTTTGTTTATTCTGATAATACAAATTTTCAAGGAGATATGGTAAAGAGCTTGTTGTAAGAAAGTGAATGTTTAACCAGTTTAATGTTGAACTCAAATCTACTTGAGATGGGTGATCTCAATGAATGTGATAATGAAATGGACCATGTAGAATCGAGTTCCGGTGTAGTCAAGTCTTAGTCCTAAAAGAATGTTTTGACCTACTGACCATTTATGAAGTATGCATACTTATTATTCATTAAATAAGTTTAAAAGAATTGTGTACTTTGACCCTTATAGCTAAATGAGTGTCATTTTTACTCAATAATATTATAATATAATTAAAAAATGAAATAAATTTAAAAAACTCGAGCCCCACTAGTGACTACTATATTGCTATCAATATGAATATATTATGAATATAATATTTAAATAATATATATAATATAATTAAAAATATGACCAACTTATTGATTCCTCACATTGAAGATTTATGTATTACAAAAGATGCTATTGAATGCCTTGTTAGAATATGGCCATTCATCAGACTGAATGATCTGAACAAGAGAACCACTGGAAAAACAAAAAAATTTTAAATTAATATTGTTATAAAGTTATAAACAATAACTCACATACTATTTACTTACAATATTCAACCCACACAGAACTTGAAAGTATACTAAACTAAATAATGATATGAATACCTTATATAACTTATTATTATTTAAAATAGGTATCTAAAATATTGAACATTTGAACGTTATTTTAATATTAAAACTTCAAAATGCAAATTTACGATTTAAGATAGTATTAATAATATTATACTAGACAATTGTCGCTACTACCAATAGAATACCACCAGTGCAGCAGCCAATGAAAAAAGGCGGAAGACTCCCGCCACTTTCTATGGTGAAATGGAGGCCAGGGTATGTATCAAAAATCTATGATTACCAATTTATTTAGTCATGATTCAAAACTTCAAATAAACATAATATTAATAAGTATAAATTTTAATTTGTGGATTAGGTTTAAAACAATGGAAGTCCCTACAAATAAAGGTAACTAATATATTATTTTTTTTTTGTAATAATTCATTGTATTTGATATAAATTTGAAAAAATTGTATGATTATAAGACAGACATTTTCTAAACATTAATTTTTTACCACATACTTTATGACATGTATTTATTAAATATAACAAAAGCTTAAGAAACATGATGATTGAATATATGATTATATGAATAATATTCAAGTTCTTTAAAAATAATAGTTAACACTCATTCATAAGAAAATCTCATTTAAGTTTAGCAAACTTAATTTCCAATTCTTTCCTTTCACCCTTCTTAGTTCTTACCATCAGTTTGCTCCTGTAAATTAAATATTCAAACATAATAATAATAACATACTTTATATACTTTTAGATCTAAGTTGGCTTAGATATTGTAAATCATGACCATGGCTATCATATTTTGTTTCAAGAGTTTGGTATTATGTATTTATACTTATGTATAATATACATATTTTAAGCTATTAACGTATATACTTATAATAAATGATTTAAAAATTATGAATATAAAATTATATGTTATGTTGATTTAGGTATTATTAATCACAATCACAAATATATACATTGGCTGATATAGAAAACAACGATAATGGTGTGTACTCCACTTATAAATAAAATTAGCGATTCAATTAAATATTAATAATATTTATTATGCGCATAGTTCAGATTTACATGTATTTATCAACTCACTAAATAGGTCTTCAATAATTGTTCCCAATTATGTTTTTTTATAGATGCTTTAGACCAATTGAAAAGTCTCATTTGTTTATGTGCACATGTTACTTAATGTTCTTAGATTTTATCATTAAATAAATAAGTATTATAATTATAGGTAATGTAACAGAAATTCAGAAGCTTCCATATGAAGTCCTTAATTTGGAAAGACCTCAAACTTATACATAGTTTTTGCCTTTTGGTGGACTACAGAATTCATAAGGGATAATCAAGCTTCTTTTATTATAAGAATAAAAATATTAAAAATTAAATGTAAGTACAAAGAAAGATTTAAACAAGTACAAAAAATAAATAAATGTTGTGTCTGACTCCTACAGTTATTTGGTATCTAATAGAAAAAAATCTCAACATTTGTGTCTGGCAACTGCTCAAATATCCTCTGATCAAAATGATGAGAGGTTGACTTTGTGTTAGCCGCACAATCATAAAATGAGGCCATTCAACATGGATGTTCCATTACTTAGGTAAACCTCAATTTTTACAAAATAGAATTACGCAAAACAGTATCTTCATACACCTCAAGAGGAATATACTTGGAAGAAATTGTTAATTAATGCATATTCTTTTTACCATTTCATAAATGAAATAAATGCCTACTTATTATTGTGAATCGTTTTATCTTAAATTGTAAAAGTATAATAATCTTTTAACATTTATGTTTAATTATAACACTGGTTAACTCCATAGTTTTCCAAATGCTGTCCAAGATTACAACTTCCAAGGTTCTGAGCGAATGCATTATGTGAGGCAAAGTTGTTTCCTGCAACACCTGACGATATTCAAGACCTCTGCTTGCTGTCAACAGCATTCACCCAGTTTGCAATCACATTGCAAAATCCATCAAATAAGTAAATTCTTATGATTAATTTTATTTAAAAAGGTTAAATTCCAACAATAGTTTTTGAATGGGTTGTATCAAGATCTGCTATTGATAAACCAAAAATTGAAGGTGTTTTTTTGTAATTTGAACAGTATTCAAGAACTATTACCAGAATAATTAAAAAATGTGAGTAGTGTCTTAATTTTTACAATTAAAATATCATATTTATTTAGGTAACTATTATTATGAAGGGTAGGTTGTTTTAGCCGGATGTGACTAAAAATGTAAAACATTACCAAAATTAAAAACAAATTATTTTTTAATTCATTGATGGAAATGTGGTAATCATAAATATTATGATCAATAAATTCAATTTGTTATTTTAATTCAGTTAAACATCTCTTGAAAATGTCTATTCTGCATCTGAAATTTCCAATATCTAAACTTTGACAAACAATTGAAAACCATTAATAGTAAATAAAATAAGTAATTATTTATACATATAAAATCCAAATACCACTTAGTCACTGATCATTGTTACTCAAAAACTATGCAACGTATGAACTTGAAATTTGGTATAGAAGTTCTTCTCATTTTTTTAACTGTGCATTAAGAAAGGATTTTCAAAAATATTGCTTTTTAGTGGAGTAATTAACAATAATTATAATTATTCATCGCCAATCCGTATTGTGCTACACATGCTCATGGTGGCCTGCGGGTTTCCAGCTACCTGCAACCTATCCTTTCTGTCCTAAAGTTTGAGAATTATATAGGGTTAATTATATATTCCCAAGGTTTAGGAATTCCTTAGTAGGATTTAAATACTTTTTATTAAATTTGAATGGTGGTCATTAATATATATACCATACACAGTGAATAATTGTTAATGAACATACACACTGTTTCAAAAGAGAATATACCAGATTTACATAAGAAAACCGGTTTTGCCCGTGGCCACCTGGTATGTTGTCTTTTGAAACAGGGTATAGACATTATGATTCTAATTTTTGTTTTATAGGAGAAGAGAAAATAATATTTATACCACATGTTTTTTATAGCATTCAAAAGTGTTGCTCAGTGATAGCAAAGTATATGTTTTAACCAAAATTGATAGTTAATATGCTTTATAGATTTATCATTTTTTTTGTTTCAATCTCATGAAAGATCCACTGTATAAGCTAGTTTTATAAATGAATTTTGTTTCTTTATTTTTCTGAGTAAATTACTTATTGTTTTGTAAGGTATACTATAATGTACTATACTGACTTAAATGAAAAAATGTATTATTTTATGTTAAATTATTAACTTTGCACTCAAAGTAGATACTGATATTTATACTGTGGAATGAGCAATAAGTTATTAATTATTATAATATATATAACTTTATTTATAGATCGGTTGCTGTTCTTAGGAAATCATTTGATCATTGAATTTAGATCAGTTGAAAAGACTTACTTCGTCTCCAATGTTTGTAGGCAGTATTAAATGAAATTCAGAATTTAAAATTTAGATCCTCCTGATGACCACAACGTATTTTTATTACCACTAAAGTAGCACAATTTATTAAAAATAGAATTCAAAAAATTATTTAAATAGTTGTTTAAATAGTAAATATATGTTTACCAATAATTAAGTATTTAGACCAGTAATCGTATTGTTAAAATTAAAAACTAAAAAATGTAGAAATCGAACAAAACATGTTCTACGAAGACGCGTATTGGTACATAACATAATACAATGTATTATAATATGTCACATTATATTGAATATTCTTTTCGGAATTAAAATGGATCGGCTACAAAGCTCCATAATATGCGTATTTTTCGTTGCCCAGGAGATATTCTATACAATATATATGTTTATACGTTTCTAAGTTTCTTCGATTACGAATTTTCGTCTTCAATATTGTTTTTATTTCGTACGAATTATTTTCTAGTATAAAAAAAGTTATTTTAGTTTCACTTTATAAAAATATTATAATTAACAGTTCAATAATGTATGTAATGGTAATAAATTATTTCTATAAAACACAATTTTAAAATAGTTAAAATTCATTCGAGTCTGAAAATAACGAACGAGAACCGTATACAGGTACTAATGTACCTACTGTTAATGTGGACCGACGACGAGCTACCACTATACGGATATCATGACTGTGCTTTCTTCAACACTTCTTACGGTCGGCGGTAAAGTTATCTCATAATTCACATAAATAAATTGGATTCTTTAAGTAGCCATGAATTATGTATTGGTTTTACAAGGTAGGAAGTTTTTTAAATATAATTTTTTAGCTTTTACATCAAATAAAAATGTAAAAAATATTAATTGTAGAGACTTGAATTTTTCATCAACTATTTTTCATGGCTTTTTCTATAGACAATGTATAGGTTTAAAAGTATTTTGGATCTTCTTTGAGCTAGGCGTATGCTTATAAATATTTTAAGTTTATTTATTTTAGTTTTTTTTTCATCGTTCTATTCGTGGTTAAAAAGCTTGAAAATTTGAAAAAGTACTTTAAGTTCCTATAACAGATAAAAATATCAAAAATGTCACACTGGTACCTAATTATTTTTTTAAGCCTTTAAACTTCAAATATATACGTAATTAATTAAATTAGATATTGACATAAAAAATAAAAATTGTAGTAAGTCCGTATAGTGTAGTTTTATGCTAATATTAGATATGTACCTAGGTATTTGGTAACAATAATGATTTGTAGTATAGTGTTTAAGTTTTTAATAATATTAATAAATACATAATGTTATAGACTATAGTTAAAATTAAAGTATTAAATTTTTCGTAATTGGTATTTAGACAATATAATATTACTCATGAACAATTTAAATAATTAACTTCGACGTCAATATTCGACCACAAAATATTAAACTATATATTTTATGATGTATAGGTATAGGTAGATAATTATTAATTATACTAATTTTTCTATCCTTGTGGTTAGATACGCACCAATAAGGTGGATTTCAAATTTAATTTAACCACTATACGTATATATATTTTTTTTATCACAGAGTAGTGCTAAATAATTCAAATAAATGTTTAAAATAAAAATTAAGAATCGGTTGAAATTACGCAAAAAACAAATTGTTGTTAGGTACCAATAAGTACAAACTTTTTAGGTTCAAATTTTTACAAAATTGGATATTCAAACAAAAAAACCATTTCATTATTATTATTAGTTGTAGTTATACGATTTATTAATATTAAAGGCACATCCTTGTCTTGTTATTCAGTTAATTGTCGAGCTATAAAAACTTTTGGTTGAAACTAAAAAAAAATGTACTGACTCATAATAAAACCTTGATATAAGAAGACTTGTATTTGTTATTTTTTCAATATGACTTGAAATAAAATTAATTAATATAATATGACAGTTTTAATTAAAAAGTAATACCCTTAATTATTTTAAATTTCTTAACAAGATTAGATTAATTAAGAGCTAGATGATACAATTTATTTTCTTTAATAATACATTTTTATTCGTGGTTAATCCATAAAAGAAAAGTAGAATGATTAAATAATGTAAAAAATGTTGAACAAAATCATTTATAATTAAAAAAAATAAACTTAAACTAAAATGTATATCTTCATGATGATAGAGACCGTTCCAATAAATAGCCATTTATTTAAGTAATAATTTGTTTATGGTTGGCATTATTCCACCCTTACATAAGTATCTATGTCAGTAAAAAAAAAAAATAATTCTGATTCATTTGAAACTTTTTGTCAATGCGTATATTATTATTATTTGTTTATATTTTAATTATTTTTAAGTACACTATGGCATATTTTAAGAATATTTAGATTAGTTTATGATAATATTACATATATCACTAACCTATTCTTACCGTTCTGTGGTACGTCGGTATTGACTTAGTCGGTAGTTGTTACAGATATTTATATTATATTATATAATTTCATTATTATAATAATTTAGCATTTGTGATTTCTCCAACATAAGTAAATCTCTTCAAACCAAATCTAAAAAAAAAAATGCACTACAACATAAGTAAAATATAACGGATGCTTTCCCGTGCGCATGAGCATGCCATCGGGCGCGTCCCCAGGTTGCGGATAGGGGAACGCCCTGAGGATATTATACTCTCAGGGTAGTCGCGAAATAAGTCATACCTTCGGGATGGACGAATAAGCGGCCGCGGACAAGCTCACCCACCGGGGAACCGATACTGACCCCCGGTGTCCCGGTAGATCAAACTGGGAGACGACGCGAGGCTGGCGTCGTCGGTGTAGGCCAAGCGGACAGAAAGACGAAAATGGACTGAACAAACAAATTACTTCTCCAAGAAGAAAGGAAAAAACCAGGAGACAGCGACTAAGGGCTGGTTCGGCCCAATAGTCGAAATCGCTAAGCCAAATACCTGTAGGAGCAGAGGCGGTCAGATAGGCCTCTGCCCGTGGTTTACTACATATACACGTGTCGTCCGTACTTTACTTAGCGGACACGGAATATTCGCACTAAAAATATTATACTCACGCCAATTTGTAACTCATGGCTAATCTGCCGAATTAAAGACGTCCAAAGGTTTGAACATAATTGAGTATAATACATCCTAGAATTTTTTTTATTATTTACGTTAACACCTATTGTAATCTTAGATTTTTATATTTTCAACTTATTTTAAATAATTAGTATTAATCTATTTTAATTTTAATTGTATATAGGCTTATAATAAGTTACGACGTAAAAACTTAATTTAATTAATTTAACATATTTCTACTAATTAGTCTAGGTTTCAATTTACGGTATATC